AATGAGTCCTGCCACAAGAAGAATACATGTGTCTAGAGATGTAGTATTCCATGAACACATTTTTTCTTTTTCTTTGTCCTTAGAAAAATATACTTTTTCTTCTGCTCTTAGAGCTGTCCAGAACAATTTTTCTAATTCTGTTGATTTTTTTATTGTACTAATTCAAGGTGTCATAACAATTATGTAAATGATCAAAGAATTGAAATTGATATAGACAGTAATTCATTTCCTAACTCTGATCCGTTACTTATTAATGAACAATCACCACCCTCACAATCCATTGACCACTCTACCACATGCTGGAGAACACCAGTCTATACAACCATCTCAACCTTTACAAAGGAAATCACATAGAGAACATAAACTTCCATTGCACGTAAAGGACTACATTGTTACTATTCCCACCACTAGACCTCTCATCAACACTACACCTACCACATTTATTCATCCCAACAATCACTTTTCACTCAAAGCATTGTTCACCAGACACCATCACATCTCCCCTGGTGTCCTTGCATCTAATAGTCAAGCATTGGTTGAGAATATTTGTCATGACAGAGAGCCATTATCATATGAAGAAACATCTATCGGTCCTGCTTGGCAGAAAGCCATGACTCAGGAATTTGAATCCCTTTATGCCAACAACACATGGAGTCTTGTTGAATTACCAATAGGGAAACAAACAATTGAATGCAAATGGGTGTACAAAGTTAAGCATAAAGCAGATGGATGCATTGAAAGATTCAAGGCAAGATTAGTAGTGAAAGGCTACACACAACAGGCTGGAGTGAATTATACAGAAACATACTCACCAATAGTAAAAATGACAATTGTCAAGACCTTGGTGGCATGTGCTGTAAAGAAAAAATGGAGTATGTCTCAACTTGATATCAACAATACATTTCTTCATGGTGATCTACATGCAGAAGTGTATATGCAAGTACCACAAGGTCTTGAGGTTCATGATAATAGACTAGTGTGCAAGCTTAATAAATCATTTTATGGACTTAAGCAGGCTAGCAGGCAATGGTATGCCAAGTTGACTGAAGCTTTGTCTCTCAGAGAATATTCACACTCACATCATGATTACTCATTATTCTACAAGAAGTCAGGATCTCTGGTAGCATTTTTGGCAGTATATGTAGATGATGTTCTTCTCACAGGCACAAACACCACTAAAATCACACTACTAAAGCAGTATCTGGACAACACTTTCAAGATAAAGGACCTTGGTAAACTTCACTATTTTCTAGAACTAGAAATTCTTGACACAGCAGGAGGTGTGCTCATTTCCCAGAGAAAGTTTGTGTTGGACGTGTTAAGAGAATATGATTGTTTTAACTATGCTCCACTATCCTCTCCATTAGATCCAAATGTTAAGTTGAGAGCTAAAGAAGGAGCATATGTCTCTGATCCTACATACCACAAAAAATTAATAGGAAAACTGAATTTTCTCACAAACAGTAGATTGGACATAACATTCAATGTCCAACAATTAAGTCAATTCGTGCACGATCCCAGGATTTCCCATTTACAAGTTGCATTTCATCTGCTCAGATACTTGAAACAATATCCCACATTTAGAGTACATTTATCAAATGATCCTAACTGTACAGTACATGCCTTATGTGACTCTGAGTAGGCCTCTTGTACAGACTCCAGGAGATCAATGAGTGGATATTTAGTTTTACTCGGGAACAATCCTATCAGTTGGAAATCCAAGAAGTAAGAGACCATTTCCTTATCATTAGCTGAAGTAGAATATAGGTCACTCAGAAAGGTGGTAGGAGAACTTACTTGGTTACACAGATTGCTCACTGAATTAACTATACCTGATCCTTCTCTCATTGTTGTTTACTATGATAGAGAATCTGCCATACACATAGCTCATAACCCTGTTTTTTATGAGAGGACCAAACACATAGAAGTTGATTGCCATTTTGTACGAGATAAACTTCAGGAGGGGCTCATACGCTTACAACATGTTCCTACTAATGATCAATTTGCAGACATCCTTACCAAGGCTCTTATTGGAGTTAAGCACTCAGCTATCCTAGACAAGTTGGCTATGAGATTATCACCACCAACTTGAGGAGGGGTATTGAAGATTGTAATTAATGTATTAATCATGTTTTAAATTTAATTAGTCAACTAATCCATTAATTAGTTAGAAGCTGTTAATTAGTTAGATTAGTTAGTTACATTCTTTCTAGACGATTCCAATGCCAATGTTATGCTTGTGTATATATACCCTAACTGTAAATGAAAGCACTTTACTTTTCTCATTTCAATAGAAATACAGTTTTCCTTTTTTTCTCTGCATTCAATTCAGTTTGAGTTCCGCCATTGATGCAGTTTTGATAAATATAATAAGGAAATAATTGCCGACCAATATGGAAATTTGTATATAAGTACTCAATTATATTGTTGTACCCAATAAGTGCTATGTCTTATACCTAATTAATATTGACATGTGTTATGTGTCTTATTATTAATTAGGTAGAGTATTTCACCGGTTCTTGTTCATAAGATATTAATAAAAATAATCTTCTTGAATGATAAATATTCAAATTTTCAAAGTGAAGAAAAGTAAAGTCAAGCAAACGCCAGAAGATAGTTGACAAAATGTATAAACTATAAATACAACAACCACATCATGTTGACATATTAAGCCTCAATTAATTGTTTGCATTTATAAAAGGTCGGAATTTGAATTATTAGATGTCAACCTACTGAGTATATTTGTAAAAAAAAGGACCAATTATTATTTCTAAATATATCTGAATTAATTAGATTTCGTACAATTTTTTAAAAATTATTGGAACGCTCTCTTAAAGATTCGTGTATTGCTACTGCATTCATTACCATTGCCCAGGGGCGGAGGCAGCATATAATGAGGAAGTTCATCCAAATCTCCTCGGCGAAAAATATTACTATTTATACATGGTTAAAATTATTTTTAGATATGTATAATAGATGTTGAACCTCCTTCCACTAGTTCTTGTGTTTACTTCTCAGATTTTGAACCCCTTATTAAAACTTCTGGTTCCGCCACTGCGACATTGCCTATCACCGCCCTAAGTAACCAACCACTAACCTATAACCTATCACCATTTCTATTACTTTTTAATCTATTTCTTTTTAAAATATTTTTGTCCCTTTTTGATACTCCCTCTGTCCAACAATAGTTGTTTACTATTGATTTGACACACCTCTTAAGAAACAATAAATATAATAAGGGTAATATTACTATATTTTCCTTTGATTTTATTAAATTTAATGATTTGAAAAATGTGTTAGATGATAAATAATATTTAATAGCAAGGGTAAAATAAAATACAAAAGGTAAATTATGTCTTGATTGTCTAAATTGGACAATTATTTTTAATATAGTGGACAACTATTATTGAACGGAGGGAGTAACTCTTTACTTCTAACTTTCTACATTCATATTTAAGTCTACGAGATTAAAAGACATTTTAGTACATTCAATATATTTTTAGTATATGACCATAAGACTCAAAAGTCTTCTTTGTATTTTTAAATATTACGACAAGTTAAAACTAAACAAACAAATTGAAACAGATAGAATATCAACTCTCACTACACAACCACTATTATCTTCACCATTAATGAGCCTGTCCCAGATCTAGACCAGCCCAATTGCTAGTAGCACTGGCCACTTGCCACTATTTCAGTTTCAAATAAAATTCCATATAAACTACTCTCTCTGTTTCTAATTATTTGTTCATTGTTAAATTGTTACATGTATTAATAAAATAATTATTAATATAATGAGTTTATCAGTTTATCTTTATTAATTATGAAGTAGAGAAATTAAAAATTTAAGATTTTCAAAAAGTCTATCTTTTTCAAAATAATTAATTGAGCGTATAATATGTCAAAAAAAATTGTCTTTTCTTGATTTGTCAAAATAAACAAGTAATTAGGGACAACTAAAAAAAAAAAAGACAAATAATTAGAGACAAAAGGAAATATTAAAAGAATAATAGAAAAGTATAGTAGCCACTTATATACCTGTAAAGTGGGCAATTTTTTTTGCACGTTATCCTCCCTTTGAGACAATTGCTTAGTAAATGATCCCGTTTTATTGTTTTTCTTGCCATTTATAGACCTTTTAGATATTGATCTAATTATCTCTTTTGATCAAAGTGAAAATTTTATAAAAATAATATTAAACCATGCTCTGTAATTTTTTATATAGTCAATCCCAAAAATTATATTTGCACAATACAAGTTTGTATATTTGATTGATTGGTTAAAATAATTACATTCGCAAGTTAAATATATAAATAATACATATTATTTTGTATCAACAATGTATATTTCATGCATATCATATTATAATATATGTCAGATGTATCCTAAACTTGTCTTGAAAGTCGATAAAATTCTCAAGTGACGACTTATTACACACTTGTACTATATATCATAAATCAAGAGAGGGAGGAGAGCGGATTGTATTTTGTATTTATTTTGCATTGTATTATGTATTTATTTTGTATCAATTGTATTCGAAATACAATAAAATTGTGTTTTGTATTTATTTTGCATTGTATTCTTTTTTTATTTTGTATAATTTGTATTCAACTCTTTGATTGGATACAAATACATTTGACAAAGAGGATGAATACATGTTATATTCGTATGAATACAAATACAAAAATACAAAATACAATTTTTCGTATACAATTGAAATAAAATATAAAACTCCCACCTATAATTAATTCAATACAATTGATATATAATAAATTTGATTGTATTTCTGGTTATTATTAGCAGGGGAGAAAAACATAGAGAGGAGAGGGCGGGGCGAGCGAGGGGGGGGGGGGGGGGGGGGAGTAAGTTGGGTTTTGAACTTTTTTTATGTTGACAGGCAAGCCCAACTTTTTGTTGGGTTGGGCCATCTGAAAATTGAACAAGTCCAATGTTGACATTTTTAGTCATGGACATAAGTCGCTCAAGATTTTGCTGGCCTGTGCACAGAAAAACCTTCAAGAACTTTGTTCGGCTCGCCGGAAAAATCTTCGCCGACGAATTCTCCGGCGAATTCCCGAATGTGTGCTACTTTGCGCCTTATGCGCATCAATTTCAAGGTAGGTCATTTCCCCCTGTTTCCGACATCATTGTACACTTCACAATTGTTAGTTTTACACTCCCTCACTCCACCCCACAAAACCATAAACCCTAAAGTTTCCAGCTTTTCTACTGATAGCTCATATTGCAGTTCAAAATCATTAGTGTCTGTAAAAGGATTTGATTTTCTTGAGCAGTTTACCCCTTTTAAAATTTTTGCAAATTCTTGTACTTACACTGTCATTACCTCAAATGAGAGGCGTAAAATTATTGTGGGGTTGTCAAGAATGATAAAAGATGAAAAAGTTTGGCTGTTGGAAGCATTTTCAAGAGATTTTTGCCCATCATATTTGGTAAAAATTATGAAGTTGTTTGATGATAGAGAAGTTGCATTTGCATTTTTTAAGTATGTTCTTCAAGATTATTCTGAGAATACTCTGAAGTCATGTTGTATTAGTGCGCATTTTTTGGCTGCTGGGGAGTTGAGGCTATTGGCACAGGATATGCTTTCTTGGATCATTAGGAAGGTTGGAAAATGTAGGAGTGATGAGGTGGTGGGGTTCATGTGGAGGGAGCATTATAAGTATGAGAGTGACTTTTCTGTTCTTGATTCATTAATGCGGGCATTTTTAACCGCAGAAATGGTTTCGGGTGCATTACAGATTTGGAGTAAGATGAGAGACAATGGATTGAGGCCGAGTTCATCTGCTGTCTGCATCCTATTTAAGTTGCTGCTTAGGATTGGTGATTATGGTAGTGTCTGGAAGTTATTTCGGGACATGCTGCAAAAAGGGCCTCGTCCTACTGACACTCTCTTTAATGTAATGATTCTTGGATATTGTAGAAAAGGTAGGCTTCAGACAGGAGAAAGTTTGTTTCATCTGATGCGGAAGTTTGGATGTGAGCCAGATGTTTTTACATATAATATTTTGATCAATGCATACTGTATTAGGGGATGGACTTCAGATGCATTGAAATGGGTGCATATGATGGTCGAACATGGATGTCATCCTACTATCTCTACCTTTAGTACGGTTATCAATGCTCTATGCAAGGAAGGGAATGTGGTGGAAGCCAGAAAATTGTTTGATGGAATGCAAGAGGTGGGTGTCTTTCCTAGCACTGTCACGTATAACGCTCTGATGGATGGCTATGTCAAAGCACGGGAAATTTTTCAAGCAAGTATGCTATATGAAGAAATGAAAAGGAAGGGTGTAGCTCCAGATGCTATAACTTTTAACATTTTGGTGGCAGGTCACTATAAGTATGGTAGGGAAGAGGATGGCGACCGGTTATTATGGGATCTAACGGTGGCAGGACTTTCTCCAGATTATTTATCCTCTGATGTATCTATTGCAGGATTGTGTTGGGTAGGAAGGTTGAATGAGGCTGTGGCATTGTTGAATAATCTGCTTGAAAAGGGGATACCTGTTAGTGTAATAGCTTTTAATTCCATTATTGCTGCATACAGCAAAGAAGGGTTAGAAGAAAAGGCATTTGAAGTCTATAATATTATGGTTCAATTTGGTCAGTCTCCTTCAGCTTCGACATGTGCTTCTCTGCTCCTCGGCTTGTCAGTGACAGGGAGGCTGCAAGAAGCAAGAGATTTAATGGCTAAGATGATTACAATGTCCTTCCCTATTAACATAACTGCTTGCACTGTGCTTCTGGATGGTTATTTTAAGAAAGGGGATGTAATGGGAGCGAGAACATTGTGGGAAGAGATGGAAAAGATGGGAATCGCTCCTGATGCTGTTGCTTTTTCTGCATTGATAGATGGGCTTGTCAAAGCTGGCTCTGTTGGAGACGCTTATGATGCCTTTCTTCAGATGATTAGGAAAGGGCTTGTACCAAATAATTTTGTTTATAATTCGCTAATTACTGGTTTCTGTTATAGCGGAAATATGAATGAGGCTCAGAAATTAGAAAGGGACATGAGGGAAAGGGGTCTTCTCCCAGATGTCTTTACAATTAATACCATCATTAATGGTTTCTGCAAACAGGGAAGGATGAAACTTGCTATTGACTGTTTCGTGGAAATGCATCGAAGTGGTTTACAGCCTGATATTGCTACGTATAACACCTTGATCAATGGATTCTGTAAGGCATTTGATGTGGTTAATGCAGATAACTTTATGACAAGAATGTATGCCAGTGGATGGGAACCTGACATCACAACCTACAATATAAGGATTCATAGTTTCTGTAGTACTAGGAGGATAAATCGAGCTGTTATGATTCTGGATGAGCTTGTATCTGCTGGTGTGGTGCCAAATACTGTTACATACAACATTATGATGAATAGTGCTTGCAATGACATATTGGACCGTGCAATGATTTTGGCTGCAAAGTTGCTTAAGATGGCATTCATCCCAAACACTGTTACAGCTAATTTACTACTTTCTCATCTATGGAAGCAGGGACTACCTCAGCGTGCGTTGGTTTGGGGGAAGAAGTTGAGCGAAATTGGATTTGAGTTTGACGAAATAACACATAAAATATTGGACAAATCTTCTCTTTGTATACAAGAAAACACAGATTATTGTACAGAAACAACAGAAAAGAGTCTTTTTTTAGACTTCCTCATGTACATTACCTACGACTACATACGTAGAAGTAGGGCTTATAGTGATAATAATGACAGCTCTTTCAAACTAGTTGAGGATGGACCTTGTGGGTCCTTCAAGTTAGTCAACAAGGCTACTGTTTAGCAATCTGATGAAAGAGCAAGAAACTGAATGACTACCAACCCGGAAATTCTTGTGGAAATGAAAACAGAAAAACCTACTGAAAGAATTAGCTTCAGTACAATTTTCAAATGCTGAAGAAGCTTGAATTTCTTATAACCGATGATGCTTCCCGACACTGAAGTTGGTAATTACGTCATGAAGCTGCAGTTTCTATGGCAAGTTGCAAAATTTATGAATGCCGGTATATACCTTATACTTTGTATAGTATACGATTTTCATGTGCACTTCCTACAGACTTTTGTTCTTCTGTTTTCAGTTTGATTAACCTTAGAGATCTTTCTTGAATTCGAGCTTCTTAGTTGTTGGAATGCTTTCTCCTGTTGAACTCATGAAATTGCTCTGAACTAGATAAACTCATGAAAAAATTGATGCTGGAATCTGGATAGGTTTTGTGAGATGGCTTATGGGGTCTTCTAGAAATGGGTAGGTAATAGCAGCGGATATGGAATAACGCTATCGTAAAGAAAATAAAATGTACTTTTCAGCAACCATACATGGTCTTCCAACTTTTTGAAGCACCTATTTTTCTGGCTGACAGAAAGTTGAGTCATACTGCCTTGCCTCCCTTCAACCAAGCAGTATTGTTGCATCTTTCTGGCTGACAGAAAATTTGAGTCGTACTGCGTTATCTCTGTTCAACCAAGCATTTGTTATGTACCATATATTTATATAGAATTTTGATAATCTCGGTACTTAAAAGGTAATATTTGCATTGGCCATTGCTTGTTTACTGTTAAAAGTTTTAGATTTATGAGATGAGTTTTGTTAGAGGGATTAGAATCAGCTACTTTGAGTTTGTGCTTAATCGTTAATCTAGGAAACATTCTTTCAGGAATCGACATCTGGCACTCTGACCTCCATGATTTCTGCCGCCTACTTTTTGCTAGTATTGTCTTCTGAACTGCGATAATCCCTCAACACTGTGCTTCTCCTGAAGTCAACTTTCCTTTCTTCACTTCCTAATGCCCTGCTTTTTGTTAGAAACTTTCCACTCTCACCAAAAATCCCAAGTAGCCAGTGATAGTATTCTGGCATGTCTATCACCCAATTTTCAATTGACAAACATGATTAGTTTCCAGACTGCTTTTCTCTGCATTATTTACATTATTAGCTCAATGATGATTCTGAAGCTATTTTAGGTTATCAGACTTTAACATTTTAAAATTTGTTTACTCTCAGTTTTGCTCATGTGAATAATGAGGAAATGGAAAGACTGAAATGATTGTGGATTCTTGCTTATAATTTATCCACTTGGTTGTGTCAAATCTGATTGACTATTTATCCTAAAACAAGATGTTGATTTACTCGATTTTCTTTCAGTTTGGAGATCCAAATTGTGCCCAGAGGACTGCTTGAAAAAGATTATGTGATGACTCCTCTATCACTCATCTGTGCACCTGAGGGAGAAGAGACTTAGATGCTGCTCTATGTACGGAATTTCCCTGATGTTTTCTTGAGCTGATAATGAAGGTTATGGAAAGTAAATTATTGCTTGTTCTGGATGTGCCTAAAGATTTGATCCTGAAAAGGAACTATTATGATGAATGATAAAATATCAAGAGCTGCGTTATGGAAACACAGCGACAGCAGTAAATTCTCGAGGATCGTGAATTTGTTATTGTAAGGTTTTACCAACTGCTGTCGATCAAAAGAGGGTTTGCTAGCTGCTGTCGATCAAAAAAGGTTGTGCCAGCTTCTGTCGTTGTTACCGTTTGAAATTTTGCGGACATGGTACAAACAGCATGAAATGGATGATTAGGATTCACATGCAGACCCAACTAGCCTGGGATATTTTGTTGTTGATGTTTGTAAACCTCCCAACAATGATAGAGCTGGTAAGTTTATTTTTTAAACATATCTTCATCTAGTATAACTGTGTATGCAACTTCCATATAAAGGTCTATGTCTCTGCAAATGAGTTCAGGTCAAACATTGTGTTTCTTTCTTTGAACAATGTTATTTCAAGGATTTACTGACAGGAAGTTTAATGTCATCCTTGCATTATGCTCCCAACCCTTCTCACTTTTCAGCTTATTGAAAGAATTGGTTTCGGTGTTGTCTTTATCCATGTCTCTTTAATCACAATTTACGATATGTCCTAATTACATAAATGGCTGAAGAAGTTTCATGTTAACAATGTTACTTTTATTCCCATTGAACATACAAGAAGATGAACTGTACTTTTCTTAATACTGTTTCTCCCTTAAAGGTGGATGCATGACTAGAAAGCTTGAAGCTTTTATTAGAAAGTAGTAGGTATTTGTTAACAACGACATCCAGGGGTAGTCTAGCAACGCATGCATGCTACATTAAACAGCATGCATATGGAATATAGTGACATTAAAATGCGAACAAGTCCTGTTTGATATTGCTATTTGCACTATGGATAACATGATTAAACCACTGGTCAAAATCGATGCTTCCAAGACTCCTACTCGTCAGCTGCTGCTAATAGAGTGTGCCCTCAGGACTTGCAGCTCGCAGTCTATTTGATGGATTTATTAATCCGCAGTTTTATGAACTTCCATCTTCAGAAGAGAACTGCTACTTAACCAGTGACAGATAAACCTTATTGAAACTAGCATTTTTTATGCATTGATATATGTACCTTTGTGAGCCCTTTTAATGTAATTCTTGTAGCTTGGCATGACTGTCCCTTCATGATGAATCTCCCGGGTACCCCCAACCCCCTCTCCTCTTCTCTTTTCCCCTTATTGTTGCTCTATCTTGATGAATTCTGCAATCGATTTTTCACATTGCAGGATGTGCAGAGGGCTTTGTCCAAACTACTGGTGATCGGTGCCATTATGGTCCTTTGATCTGGAGACTGTTTCAATGGCTGCACAAGGTTATCGTGCCATATACAGTATCATGGTTCTGCCAAAAATAGGACCTGTTCTGGATTTTGGGGGAAGCTGGAAAGTTTATAGCCCGAGTAGTATCAGTGAGTCTCCACACGACAATAGGTGTGTGGTTTCGATCCCCACTACTCCTTTGCCCTTCCCCGCCCCCCCCCCCCCCCCCTCCCCCTTATGTATTAAAAGAAAAAGTCAGCGTAATTGATCAACAACAGTTACGCCTCAGTCCTTTGCTTATTTGTATGACGAAGTTAGTTTTTAATACATCCTCTTTTCATAATCTTCTTCCTTGCCTTTTTTCTTTTTATTTGTAGTGTAAATGTAATAAGCTTACAGTTGCTATCACAAACAATAAAAAAGAGAAAATCACTTGCTTCAATAAGTTCAATGCATTGATTTCTGTAAGCAGTCAACACAGCGTGTATAGTTGGTAGATCTATATTTGGTTTATTGAAACTATATTCGACAATATACCACAAGACATGGTTAAATAAATAGTAGTATAATCTTTGTTGACGTTGACTCAACAAGTTCTCTTTTCTTTTTTTCCCTCCCCTCCCTCTTCCTTTTCTGTCTAGCGGGGTAGTTGGGGAAGGTGGGGGGGGGGGGAGGTTTAGTGAAAAAAATAAGAATATGTTCATGAAAATTTGAGCATAGTATAGCCACCACAATAATGACTACGCCTCATGAATTCTCATTTCTATCACCCAAGGCATAGAAAAACTCAATGCTACAGATTGTTGCCTCTAGTTATAGCCACTAATGAGTCGAAATGGCAATGCCTCATTTACACGCTAAGTTAATTAGTACTTGCTATATATTTCACTCACATTCAGTAAAACCAGAATTTTCAACATATTGATATCTGATATGGAGGAAAAAATAACTTATTCTATGTAGTTTTACCCTTCTGCATGAACAGGAATCTTCTTCTGCTTATTCCACCAACATGTTCACTAAGTTTAGCCAAGTGAGCCATTCGTCTTTTCGCTGATTCTGTGTCTCCTGTCTGCTTTGGCTTTTCCTCTACAACAGGATCATCGTCGACACTCTGGAAACTTGTGTCTGTGGAGGAGCTATTTTCACCGGAAATCTGAATGATCTGCTTCAGAGTTTCTACAACCTGACTCATCTTGGGTCGATCTTTTGCAGATTTTAACAAACAGGTGTCAGCTAACTTTGCCAGCTTTCGAGCTGCACTGATGGAATACTGATTTTCCAGCCTTGGATCCATGAGCATACCAAATTTCCTGCCGTCAGCAGGGTAACGTTTAATCCAATCCAGAAGTTTATGTTCTGATTTTGGTCTGTTCCTTTCTAGGGACCGTCGACCGGTTAGGATCTCATATAATACAACACCAAAACTCCACACATCACTCTTAGCTGTGAGATGTCCTGTTTCTATGTAATCAGGTGCTGCATACCCCCATGTCCCCACAACCTGGTCACAAAAGCATGTCATTTATGGTCATTTACCATAGAGATGCTTCATCTTTAACCAAAAAGTTCTAAAAAAACTTGTGTTTTATTTTCTCGTTATGTAAAACATGTATTTGAGCAAGGATCAACGTAACATACCGCTGTGGAAACGTGTGTGTGCATGCCAGTTGGACCCTCTCTGGCAAGCCCAAAGTCTGAAAGCTTTGGCTTGAAGTCATCATCCAATAGCACATTTGATGACTTGAAATCACGATATATCACCTGTACAGTTGACAGAAGAAAGAACATTAATGTTTAGTACATTAAGAAAAGCAGTAGTGTACCACTTCAGTGATGAATCGGTATATACAAGTTTTCTGCATGTTTGACAAAAGGTCAAAAGAACAAATATACAGTAAAGATGCCAATGCAGATGACGTTTTAATTTGAAATGGTCTTGAATAAAGACATTGCTATAATTTATAGATAGAATTTAAAGTTGAAACAGAGACACTCCACTGTCAAAATCCTTGTAACTGCGAAAAAAATCAGGAAAATAAATGAAAACATATAGAAAAACTCTGCTTAAACATTTTTTAGGCCACAAAGGTGAAGCTATATCAATGATCATATACCTTCAGCATTAAGCGATACTCCACTCTTGGGTTATACATTGAAGAAATCCAACTAAGAGTTCATACACTTGTAATTCTATTAATGAAAAATTTGGACAAATACATCAGAAAATATTCAGATAAAATACCTGAACTTCCAATTCTTCATGCAAATAAGCCAGTCCCTGAGCTGCTCCAAGCGCCATTTGCAGTCTTCTTTGCCAAGAAAGAACTGGAAAGGCTGTACTGAAAAGATGATCTTCTAGACTTCTATTTGACATGAATTCATACACAAGTAGCCTCTGAATACCTCTTTCCCCATCAACGGCACAATATCCAATTAGTTTGACGAGATTTGGGTGATCTACCACTCCCAGAAATTGCACTTCTGCTACCCATTGTTTATGACCCTACATAACAATTAGAGGATCAACACAATACTAAAGTTTACAATTAGATAAACAACTTAAGTTTATTTAGCTTCCAAAACAAAAGACCACAGATTTAAGTTCGCAAAATCTAGAGAAGCAAGACACATCAACCATAACTTGCAGCCAAGTAATGGTGAAAACCAGAACTTCCAACCAATGGAAAGAAAGTACAAAAATTGCCAATATTTTCATGGTGCTCATTAAACTTTACGGACATTTATTCTCTGTTTAACAAATTTTAACTTGAAAGGGGAGCTTCTCATACAATCAAATCAAGTTTCTACAAAACTGCTAGCCATATAGAAATGATCCACATTCGGGCAGCAATTAAATGATCAACCTGAACCTAAGATAGCTAAAAGTGAGTTGGCAATAGTATTTATAGCAAAGTGCAAGGAGCAAACAGAAATGTAAATGGAACAAAGTTGGCAATATTCCTCTCTTCCACAAGCAAGATATATACATATATCGCGTACATTCTCCTGAATAATCCTACGAGGATATAGACACAAGTGAATTTCAAGGGCATCAATACTTTGATCTTTTTACTAAAGATGAAAGATTAAACATCACCTACCCCCAAAGAAAGAAGACAAATTGTTGTAATGTAAGTATCATACTCCTTCACCAACATAGCAACAAAAAACAGAAAAAACAACAATGAATGATGATATTATTAATGCTCCATTACCAGACAAAGCTGCTATAAACAGTTCCACAGATAACAACAATTTAACAAATAAGGCCACACTCAAATCACTAAAACACATATGTGTGCATTCACATTTCGGTTACCAGTCCAACTAAACACAAATTCCAAGATCAGTTACACATAATGGACCATACTCCAAAAGAAAAAAGAAAAAAAGCTTACCTGATAACCATCTCTATTGAGTTTTTTAATGGCAACAATAGTTGATTCACCTTTTCCATCAGCAGGCTTAATGTTACCTTTGTATACACATCCAAAACCTCCTTCACCAATCTTAAGTAACCTATTAAAATTATTAGTTGCTTGTTTAAGCTCAGAGAATGTGAATACCCTCAAATTCTGACCTTTCCCTTCATACACATCAGAGAAGCTACGTGCAGAAGAAGTTGAACATGAAGACTTAGTTACCCTTTCTGCACCACCACCTGAAATATCTGATTTACTCTGATCTTGAAGTACCACTGGTGCTGATTTTCTTTCCCTATTTCTGTGCCTATCCTTGAAGTAAAAAAAACACTTCATTTCCCCCCCTCTTCACAAATTTTGACAGAATTTCCAAGATTCAATTTTTAACTCCCAGAGTCGAGGAACAGCCACTAAACTCCTGCAGAAAACCACAGCATTAGCAAGAACTACATCAAGAACAGATTTTTAACCAAAAATCTAAGTACCCAAAATGAAAAATTGATATAAAACAAGGAAAAAATTATTACCTAGATAGGAAATGGGGTTTTCTTGGTTGGTTTATGATTCAAATAAAAAAAAGAGAAGATGGGGTCCTGATTTTGTTCAACCCTTTAGACTCTTCTTATAAGAAGAAAAAGTAAGTGCTTTCCAAGTTGGTGGAAGAAGAGAAGAAATTAAGAGCTTTCCATGTAAATTATACAAGTTCAAACTGGCTTTTGATTTTCTTGAAAGTCAATAAAGTATTCTAAATCTTGGGGTTTCTTCAACTCCCTTTGGATTTGGTTAACAATTCTTTCTTGGACCAAAACCAAAAAATTATTTCTTGGACCAAAGACACTATTTTATTTATTTATTATTTGGATGCTTCCTATCCTGTCTCTCTCTCTTCTTCAAGAGAGAGTTGGGGGAAATTGACAAGTCTTCTTTTGTCAGTTTGGACAACTATATGTGACTATTTATATATAGAGTTATGTCTTTTTCATCACGAGAGTGGTACAGGCCGCGGCGACTGATTAGAGTTATGTTGATATTAATATTTTTATAAAGTACTTTCTCTATTTCATAATGAATGACCTGGTTTGACTTGACACGGAACTTAAGTAAATAAAGAAGATTTTTGAATCTTGTGGTCCTAAATTAAAGTTATGTCAAATGTACAAAATTGCCCTTAATCTTGTGGTCTTAAACATGTCACGTGGAAAGCAAAAAGTAAAATGTTACCAAAAAAGGAAAGAGGTCATTCTTTTTTAAACTGACTAAAAAGGAAATGAGGTCATTTTTTGTGAAACGGAGGGAGTATTAATTAGGTAGATTTTTAAGTCATAAATTAAATGTTATACTCCTTTCGTTTTATAAAAAATGATCTAGTTTGACTTGGCATGGAATTTAAGAAAATAAAGAAGACTTTTGAAACTTGTGATTCTAAATTAAAGTTATGTCAAATGTACAAAATTGTCCTTTAATCTTGTGGTCTTAAACATACTACATGAAAGCTGAAATTAAAATGTTACCAAAAAAAGAAAAAGGTCATTCTTTTTGAAACATGCTAAAAAGGAAATAAGGTCATTTTTTTTTAAACGGAATGAGTATTAATTTGATGTACGAATTATTTATCTCTTAACAAATAATCAGGTATTATATTACATATATAAAATATAATATTTATACAACTCATTTCTAAATTAGCTATTAAACGATTTTCAATTACCTAGTACATATGGTCAATGTAATCTTTTGCTGCTGAAGATTACGACCTTTTTGGAGTTTTTGTTAAATATGAGGTCTGAAGTTTTGGATCTTTCCTCTTTTATTCTCTAATTGTGATCCGTGAGTAATTGTCAATTCGAATTTTTTTACTCATAAAAAAAAAGATTATAATGAAATAGATAGAATTAATTGATTCATTAATAAGAAGAAACTTTGAATTTAAATACTGTATTAGAAAAAGATTATATTAGAGAGCATTTTCATTTTTTAAATAGATCCCACATAACTTTAATGAAAATATATTACTTGAAATTCTAATATAAATATCAAATATTACATAAAAAGCCCTTTTGTTGTTTTTGGGGGAAGTGTACTTACATTCAAGAGTGTATGTATATATAAAATAATTATTTAGATAATGGACCATATTTTTTAAAGTATATTTTAAACTTACTGTGAAATAATCTATTGTAGATTTAGCAAATCAAATAAAAGATCATAACAATAGAAATTTTTTCCAAAAAAAATAATAATGAAATACTTGTCTTTCTTAATTTTAGAGCTTTTGAACTATTCTAAGTTTTTTGTTTTGTTTTTAATTATATATTATCAAATCTCGATAAGTTTATATTTTCACTTGTACATTTATATATTGAAATTTATGCGTGAACTACAAAACTGGATTACACGATGGGAAGAATGTTGGAATTAGTATTAAACATTTTGAAATCGTTAGCAAAGTTTAATATTGTAACAATTTAATAATTTAAATAAAAAGGTACATCAAAATCAAAGAATTTATCAAGGGTATCCACATTTTAATTAATAATTACAATAAATCTTTCGGTCGGTTCAAAGAAAAATACATGAACTGATAAGAATGTGACATGCATTTAACAGTTTGGTGTGACATTACTCTCTATGACTCTAAGGGTGTTTTCGGTATAAGAAATATTTTTAAGAAAAAATAAAAATAAATATATATTTTTTTATCTTAAAAGCATTTATATATAATTTAGAAAAATAATTAAATGAGGTACGGATGAAGAGTAGGGATGCACAGTGATAAGAGTGAATATGAAATGTATTGGAGGACGAGGATCGAGAAGGACATAATTGATGTAGAATGCCCTTTTGATCCTTATTTTCTCTACCTTTGTTAAGGATAACATTTTTTTTCTTTTTTTCAGGAATTTACTTTTCTAATGATAATATTTTTAAAATATTTTGATCAACAATTGATTATTAGAACACTTCTCTCTTGTGATTTATCTAAATATCGATTTGGTCAATTTTTCTTAGTTAGGTTAAAGTTTTGACTTTTGATATCCTAAGAAAAGGACAATTGAAGTACACTAATTAAAGTTTTGTTTAATTAATGTCACCTTCAATGTCCTGTCAATTTATATGGTAGGTAAAAAAACATAAGATTGATTATTTTTAAATATAGGCTAACATTTTTTCAATCATGTTAATTAAATAGATAAATTCTGCTAAACCTTTACTAATTTTGGAGGAACAAAGTGGACAATTTCAAATTTTACATAGTTTTGAATTAGCATAAAAAGTGAAGAATCTTTACTTTGACTCTCCCATTCTCACGGGCCGAACTAACTTATAAAGTGTGTCAATTTGAATTCAAAAGATCAGCAAAATATTAACCAACCCAACAAAAAATTGAATGAGATAAAAATCGAGTCTACTGAATTTATAATGCGTCTAAAAAAAATTATATTCGTCAATGTAATTTAGGTGATTTAATATATTCTTTCATGATTGAACGATTTATTCATCAGTACAGTGGTATCACAACTCTAGTGAACAACGAACTCACTTGAGTAGAAGATCAGAAAAGTGTATTTGAAAAATGAGATAAAGTTCCTCTATTTATAGCCAACAAAGAGTAGTATGAACGTGGGTTATGTGTTTTAATTTATCATAAAAGTCTCAACTTTACTCATTCATGTAAAAATATGTTATTCAAATTACATCTTTTCTCTTGATATCATTTCGAAAAAAATACTAAATTTTCCCCACACCCTTTTAAAACCTAAAATATTATAGGTTCACAATATGAAACTTTTGTGCAGATTTTATATTTGCATTAAGAAAAAATATTCAATATTTACTACTAATGATTTAATGCAACTGTTTAATTAAACGTAACGTGTAGATATGGAGTGGAAGTCTTTTCAATTCGTGTCTGCCAAAATCCAAAAAAAAAAGGAATATAATGTGCTTTTAATGTTGTCAAACATTATTTGGTCCTTGTCGTTGATTGAATTCTAAATTTAAATAGTATTTTCATTAGGAATAATTATTAGATATTCATTCTTTTTTTGTAACAATCAAAGCAATTACCAACTAAATAAAACAAAAGGAAGATTCCTTCACATTTCCTAACATATGACTCAAACATCAATATATGACTTCACATGCTGATGCATTACATATTATGTAAAAATTAAACTCCAAGTTTTTATACTATCATATCACTTAAAAAATGTTTAACTTACGTATGACAAGTAAAATTAACTAAATAGTGTATAAATTATTTATATTGATGGTATATATATATATATATATATAATTTAAACTCGATAACTAATCGACGTTTACTTAATTTTGTTTCCGCATGAACATGCTTTTAGATATTGTTATAGAACAACTTAATTGATATGAATGCATAAAACCTACTTAAAGAGAGATTTAGAAAAGCTTTTGATTGCTAATTAATATTAATTAATAACTATCTTGGAATTCATATATTTTATAATCGAAAAGTGTTTTAAAATTTATGAGGTTAGGAATAATTCTAACTACTTTGAATAATTAGTGTAGAACACTGGAACGTGACTTCACATCTAAGAACTAAGTATGATTAATTGGCCATCATTAACTTTTGCCACCTGTCCATTAGATGAAATGATCTTTGAGATGATTATGGAACTTATAAATAAATAAATAAATACGGATTATCAATGGTATAAATCCAATAAAAGAACCTTTTAGCTTAAACAATTAGATTAATATATATAATATATGCTTTTGAAACCACAATCAATTATTAGAGCCACTAAAATACTGGTTATATGTTAGAACAGGAACCCTTTAGGTCATAATTTGCGTCAAATAATATATTACATTATTTATCATTATAAGAAGTCAGCTGATATTGGTACTTAACCTTAATTAGTCTTTGAATTAGTACTAGGTAATATAAGTTTTGTCATCGTATGTCTTCTGACTTAATTTGTTTTATACAATTTTCTAATTATTTTATAAAAAAATAATTATAGGCAAAAATTTATAACAAGCATTAGCTGGTAAACAGATACAACAAATATGATAATTGACGTACTATAGCACGGTAAATTATATTAATATAAATAAATCATTGTCAAGGTTTATCGGATAAGATTAGTTTTATATTGTGTTTGGTTAACGATAGGATAAATTTGGGTTGATAAGCAAACATAGTATAAAAAATGATATCAACTTTAATCATAAATACCATATCAAATTTGTGACCGTTTTATCCCACCTCCCAGATGAAATTATTAACCCCAAGACTATAATTTCAAAAATAATAAAATATGCAAATCAATGGCCGCTCAATATATAACTTAACTAAATACTCTTAGGGTGTGTTTGATATTGAGGAAATGTTTTTCAAATTTTCTATGTTTGGTTCCAAACATTTTTTCTACAAAAATAATCTCCTTAAAAATGAGAAAAATGATTTTCCTAATGAAAGTAGGAAAAAATAAGCCACATAGATAGCGTTCTAAGTTTACTGTCTTCTCACATCTCACCTATCCTTACCCCTTGACTATCCTATCCTTCGCCACCATCGAATTAACCCCCAAACTTCATTCCCACCACCTATATAACGTTTTGCTAGATAATATATAAATATTCTTGAAATAATATTTTGTTGATTACTTATAAAACGTTCAAAAAAAAGTTAAAAAATCCACTTATTTATTATTATTTTAAAAAAATATTTTCTAAAAAATCATTTTTCATGAAAAAACTTTTTCTTTTCGTACCAAAAAAACCCCTTTTAAGTGGGTGGCATTTGGAGAACCAAAAGAAGGATACGCCAAATCAAGATTGGAAATGAGAGATTCTTGGCCTCAAGACATTTTGACAAATCCTATGTTGAATCCCTACTAATTACGAATTTGATAAGTACTAATTAATAATTAAT